ATTTTATTTTATTTTATTTTATTTTATTTTATTTTATTTTATTTTATTTTATTTTATTTTATTTTATTTTATTTTATTTTATTTTATTTATTTTATTTTATTTTATTTTATTTTATTTTATTTTATTTTATTTATTTTATTTTATTTTATTTTATTTTATTTTATTTTATTTTATTTTATTTTATTTTATTTTATTTTATTTTATTTATTTTATTTTATTTTATTTTATTTTATTTAATCTAGTTTCATTTCCTTCTGTTCAACCCATTCCATCCCATTTTTTTTCATTTCACATCTTCCTATTTCATTTTATTTCACCCAATTCGCTTTCACTTCATTTAAATTCACTCCATCCGTATCAATCATCTCACCAATCACTTCACTTTATTCCATGTCATTTCATTACGCTTCTCACTTCATGTAATTCAGTCAATTTAATTTATATTTTATTTTAATTCATTATGTTCCAATCCACTCCATGCCATTCCATTCCATTTAACTTAATTCCTTTCATCCCATTCCATTTATTTCATGCCATACCATATCATTTCCTTTCATTTCATTTCGTTCAAACGTATTATATTTCATTCCATTTTATTTTATTTCATTTCTTTACATACCTTTTCATTTCATTCCGTTCAGCTCCTTCTCACTACCTTCCATTTCGTGCCATTCCATCTCATCCCTTTTTATTTTAGACCATTTAATTTCATTGCAATCCATTAATTCTATACATATTTCATTTCATTATATTTCGTTTCTTCTCATTTCATTTAATTCTATGCCAATCCTTCGTTTCCTATTCCATTTTATTTCAATCAATTCCATTTTATAACATTTCATTTCATTTCGTTTAAATTTATTCTATTCTGCTTTATTTTATTTCGTTTTAATTTATATTATGTATTTTTCTTTGTTCTACATTCTACTTCTTTTCTTTAAATTCATCCCTTTACTTTTCTTCTTTTTTCATTTCTCATCTCTTCCCTTTCTTTTATTCAAATTCCTTGCTTTTCATTTCTTTCATTCCCACTTTATCTTTCCTCTCTTTTTCATATTCCCTCAAAAACATTCGCTGACCTCTCCACACTTTCAGGTCAAACGGGCGGCGTCAGCGGCTGCGGTACACCCGGCTCTGGTCCACATTCGGGGCCTATGGGATCTGGCGGCACCGGTCCGCGTCGCATGAACAATAAAACTAAGGATTTGGTTAGTCCGAAATCAGGTATGTTACAGTTGTTGTTGTTGTGCGCCTAAAAGTCGATTAAGTTTATGCGTTTCTTAATTCCTTTTTGCGCTAAATATTCATAAC